AGCAAAAATGGGCAAATGAAGGATAAGTGACAAATTAAGGATTGTTGTGTGTGGCGTCAAAACTACGCCTGCCAACAGAAGACCACATTAACATGGTACTGAGATATAAAAGAATCCATGGCATCGTGATTTCACACGGAAACGTGCATTTCAGATGCACATCTTCTTTTCTATATCATCAACACCTCCAAGAAGATGATAATTTGTGGTCATAAAGACTTGCCCGTGGTCAGCTGCACCACTGCGGAGTGATACTGCTGGGCCCAAAGCGTGCCAAGGACGCACTCCATGCACCATTATGCCATGGTGTAGGGAACACCACCAGGATTCGTGGCGCTGTTGCCAATTTCTGACTCTACCATCTGTGTCCTTAAGCAGAAATTGATAATCCAACAGACCAGACAACATATTTCCAGTCTTCAGCGGTCCAATTTTTAGCTGTCCACTGTAGCCACACATTTGTGTTCTTGAGATTGGTTTTCCAAGTTTGTAAAGCCTTTCTGTCAGCTTCAACCAGTTTAGGGCATTCCCGTCTGACTTCCCCCATTACCAACACATTTCTGCCTTCTGAACTCCGACCTTTTAGATGTTGGTTTATTCATTTTCCAGCAGCGTTCTGAGTAAACTTTGGAAACTGTTCTGGAGACAAATAAAAGCTGATCCATTCGATGTGACGAGGCTTGGACGAGGTTGTGAACGTGCCGTTTGGACCTCTGTAACCAGCGTTATTTATAATAAGTTTCTATTAAAGTAGTCAAGTCAAGTCAAATGGCCAACGATGTGCAGCGGTACAGTACGCAGTGAAACGAGACATTCCCCCATGACCACGGTGCTACGTATGACACAGGACAATCAACACAGGACTGCATAAAGTGCAAATGTGCAAAAACTGCAAAAAACCAACAACTGTGTAACACCAGACGGTGCAGACACAACAGTGCAACAATGACAGTGGGTCATGCAAAAGACTGAGCATTGTGCAGAAAGTAAATTGGGGTATGAAGGTGTGCGTGTGTGCTTCAAATTAGCAAGACATGGCGATAATCTTGGTGCTAAATGTGTTCTTTAATTTCCAGAGAAGGGTTCTGTTGTTAAAATATATGTTGTGTTCACTTTATCATCTATTCTTTCTGTTAGTATGAGAAGCCGACACCGGAGAGGACGCAGGGGTGAGGAGAGGAGACAGATTAGCTTAAGAGAGAAGTGCTTGATAGCAAAGGGAAGGAGCAAAACGTCAAAGGAGAGGCTGAGGTGACGGGGTGAAAGCAAGGTACGCTACGGATGAAACGAAAGAGAAAAAAGGTTAATGGGAGGAAAGCGTGCGCTGAGGAGACGGTCAGAAGGAGTAGACATAAAAGAGCTGTGAGGAAGGGTACGAGAAGGAGATGAAGGAAAGGGTAAGCCTTTATAGGCAGCGGTAATTAGAGCAAGGCTCGTCCCCTGTGAGGCAAACACACACACGTGCTGTTAATTCACACACATGATTGGTGCCCTTCATTGCCCGTTGCGTCCACCTCTGTGGGTGGTAAATAGGCTTTTCCCCAGTCTACATGAGGCACTTCAAAGAAACCTATTACCTCTGTGCTCACAATATACCTTCTTTTATTGCAGAAGCAGTGATATGCACGCGCTAAAACAACAAAACAGTCGCACTTTAGAGAAACTGTGACTGTTGTTTGAAATAAACCATAAGCAGGTATAGTGGCACGATCATATATCAATAAATTCACTTGATAAATTAAACTTAAAGGCTGTTATAAGGTCAGGGTTTGTGTGTTGGAGGTATTAAGTATTTAATACTGGCTCAATTCACCATGTCCTCCCGACTGTACAGCAGCTGGTTGTAAAGTTTAATGAGCTACCTTCTCCTCCATCGAGCTGGGAGTACGGTAAACACCTCTAAATGGTTTAGTACAGAAACATCATACTTGGTTACGATTTTCAATTGAATTTTATTTATACAGCATCAGTTTACACCAACATCTCCTCCAGGTGGTTTATCTTGTGAGGCACAATCAGATGATCTCTTTTAAGCAACAGCTTGACAACAGTGGGGAGGAAGTGCTCTCTTTTAACAGGAAGTGACCTCTGGCAGAACCTGGCTGAAGGAGGGGGAGTCAAAAACTGCAGAAACTTTAGGGTGAGGGGAACGAGAAGAGAGAAAAGGGGGAGTATAGAGATATTTTGTTTCTAAACTAATGAAAATGTGTGCAGGTTTTGTAACGTAAATGTATGTGTAAATGTAATGCTAATGCTAATGCTGCTAAACAGATTTGTACAGTACAAGTCTTCTTAATTACCCTAAAGATAGAGATGTGGAAGTTCTGCTTGCAGAGATGCTAATTCTCTGTGGAATTTCAAACTGGATCATGGAAAAGAGAACATTTTGTTTGGTTGCTCTTGGAGGAAGTTTGTGCCTGGCTAATTACAGTGCACAGGAACATGTTTCATTCTATACTCGTTATTTATTATTTTTATTTTCATTGTCCAACAATGATTTTTAAATCTTTTGTAAATCAGAGTTAAAATAAGGTTGCTGAGAGGACGCAGACTCATCTAAAGACGGATACACGTAAATGTCTTTAGCAGCAGCACAACTGCCTCCATCATCAAGTTTGGAGCCACCGACTCAGTTTTCAGGGCATCGGTGAGCCAACAGGAGTCACTATGAATGAGACCCAAAGTTTCTGTGTGGCAGCACTTCACCGCTCAAACCTTTGTGGTCGGCCACCATTTTCCATAAGTCACATGACTGGCCGCCGTGGAGTTTGCCAAGAGGGATCTAACTGGAGGAAACCAGACACTGAGCAGCACCTCATTAATACCATCCCTACAGTCACACACAGTGGTGGCAGCATTGCTATGTTGGAAACTCTTTCTGTAGCGGATAATAGCCTCGAGCTGTCTCCGGTGAAAACGTCTTCCAGTGTGCTGAGCAGAAGTTTACATGCTAACGGCACGACAAGCAGAAGTTCAAGAAGGAGAGATCACTTGGAAGAGCTGAATTTACTGAGATGGAGAAATTAAGAGTTTAGTGGTTAGACCAACACGGCAGAATGGAAGGACCAACCGAAATCTAGACGATGGTGATGAAGACTGAGGCCTGGGTGGAGCTCTGACTGATGTGTCTGTGAGGTGCAGATGGGTGGAGGTGGGTGAATGAGAGTCTGAAAGTGAGAGTAACAGAGAGCAAAGATTTAAACTACGCAAAGTGGAGGCTGGTTGGCTCAAAGAAGGCAGGCAGGAAGATGATTGGACAAGAATACTGATGGCAGTGTTGAGATTGACAGCAGTAGTGATGTAGACAACAGCAGCCCAACACCCAGGACAGCAGGCAGGTGACTGATTACAGATCTTCATTACTGAACTTATGCACAAACGTCATCGTGATGCCAGGAAAATACAGGAAGCGTTACTGGAAAGGAACAAAAGGCCTGGAGTTTCCAGGTGCTGTCTGGACTTGAACCTAACCTGAAAATAGCGGTGCACTATTGCTCCTCATCCAAGCTGGTGGAGATTGAACATCTGTGCCTGAAATGGGACAAAAACGGTTTTAATCTTCGGGCTCGTTCCAAAGAAGACACTGAGCTGCCATTGCTGTGGAAGGTGCTTTAACTAACTGGCTGTACTTTGTCACTGTGTGTAGATTTCTCAGTGCACGCAGTGCTTATCTTATTAGGACGTTTAAAGCGAGGCCTGGTTTGTACTTTAGAAATAAATCTTACTTTACTTGTTTGCCTGTAATTGCAATTGGTGATTTGCTGTATATGCATGCTTCCTCTGCAGTTCTAAAGAGTCTTCATTCACTGACCACTTATATTTTCTATGGTCGTATATTTTACTTTATAAAGCCGTTCTAGGTGGACTTCGCGTCTACATCTGTACCCTTCTCTGTCCCAGGACTTATAGTTACCATCTAAACTTTAGATAAAGACAGAGGATGTTTCTTTTAAGAAACATTAAACCATTAAAGTTTTATGTGTATGTGCTGTGGATTTATACTTTATGTTGTATTTGTAGTCTCTCTTGTGAGACAGATTGTGATCTCAGTGGGACTTCCTGGTAACATAAAGGTAATAATATTAATGATGACGATATTAAATGTTAATAAGAATGTTGAATCCATTTGAAGACGAGTTTGAAATGGAGCAAACAACCTGATTGGGTGAAAAAGCTGGAAACCATAACACAAACGGAGATCAATGCCTGACAACAACAACTGCAAGTTAACTCAGATTTTAAGGTGTTATTCACCTTTACCGACTTTTGATGAGCCTTAGAGCTCCGTCAATGCAAAAGCATGAAAACATTGACTCAAAATCACCCCAACGTCACCAAATCGGTGCAGTGACGTCTCAGTTCTTACATTTTCATTTCCCACTTTAGTTCACTTTTCATTTTCAGCAGTGGCGGCAAAGTCTGAATATATAATGATGCTCATTATGACATCCAGTCTTGTGTGTGTGTGTGTCTGCCTGCATCTCCTCCAGGTAATGAATTGTCTGGTGTCCATTAGTGCTGAGTACGCTGTTGATGCTGACCACACAGAAGCAGTATTGACTGCTGTGGTTTGAGTATTGATATGTGGCCACTTAAAGCGGGTCTTTAGGTCTGTCGCGCGTATGCCGTCTTTTAATTTATGTTAGCTTGTATAGACTGCGTTCCTATTGAGCTTCGCGTGTATCCTTCCTCTGTCAAATCTGGATTAACTGCGTGCCTTTTACTCCAGCGTCCGTCGGCATCGAGTTAACCACCTGTTTGTCCAGTTTACTAACCCATCGTGGGAGCTGTTGTCGGTTCAGTTGACTTTTCTATGTGTGTTTATTTGTATGTGAGACGCGAGAAAAAAATCCGGCTGTATCTGCCCTGTGATTCTTTTAAGAGTGGTGCTGATGCAGTGTCTGTCCTTTATCTACGTCCTCTGTATACCAGCTGTACTGTGTGATGTCTCCGGCTTTCTTTTTGATCCACATGCTGTGTCAATGTTTGCTTCTGTTCAGATTTGGAAAGAAAAAAGAGGAGAAGAAGGAAGCGAAGGCCGCTCTGCAGCGACAAAAGTCAGACCTCCTGAGTGACCATGAGCTCGAGAGGATGAAAGAAGAGAGAGAGAGGTGGGGAGGTTTCTATCCATGAGATGATTAGGATGAAATAGCTGAAATACTGCATGCACTCAGAGGAGGTGTGTTAGTCTGTCTACGCTAAAGAACATGAATGCTCACTTTAACAGCTCTTTTAATTACCTTTATCAGTCTGTCTCCACCCCTCTGTATGCTCCACACCTGTCATATCTGAGCTCTATGCTTTTGATTTTTTCTATGCTAGTCCACTAATCAAAATACATTCAATAGATGCAATAATTAGTCCTGCGTTTCCTTTCCAGAATCGAGGCATCGCATCCCGAGTTACAAGATCAGCGGCAGGGCGGTGGCGGCGGTTCGGCATATCCCGATTTTGAAGATGATGACGCAGATCCCAACTACGCCCGTATACAATCCTTCAGGGACCGAGATATGGGCTCGGTGCCACAGCCTCTGTCTCAGTCGCCTCCCTACAGAGCATTTCAGCACGCTCGTACACCTTCCCCTCTCGGCCCATCCGGCTTTCAAGGGCACGGAAATCATACTAACGAGCCCGGAGTCATCCCCGATGATGACCCTCTGGATAGGCTCTACGCCAAAGTCAACAAATCAAGGGGAGCTGGAACTACGTCTCCTCCTGCTCCTCCTCAGGCTAATGACAGGTAAGGAGCTCCGACCTTGTTGGGATGTAATGATAAGACAAAAAGGATTTTGAGAGCACAATGGTCTTATTCATTAGTTATGTTCAGATTCTATACCTGGAACATATGGAAGCTCAGAAAGTTGTGGATACACCAGAGTCCCACCAGGTGTGGCACATGGGAGGCTCCCAGTGGAGCTTGTGAAAAAGGTTCACCATCAGTGGGTTACAGGGGCCATCACCCAGGTACAGCGTACTGTTACCTGTGTGTCAGAAAGGTGTCGTATATACACAGACCATGACCAAAGCGTGCTGTCACTTTTAGTCCACCTCCTGTTCCTCGTCAGTGTTGCAGTACAGCCTCATCTTCATGTTTCCATTCTCTTTGCTCTTCTACTGAATCACATTCATCTGCCTGAGGCCAGTGTGTGTGCGTGTGTGTGTGTGTGTGCGTGTGTGTGTGTGCCAGTTTTAAAACAATACAGATAGAGACAGACAAAAAGAAAAGATTGACTTGTTTGTGCTTCAGTCTTCAGTATGAGTGGCTGTGTGCTGACGTACACATAACATCCGTGTGTGTGTGTGTGTGTGTGTCATAAGAAAGCAGGGCTCAGTGTTCCTCTCCGTTTCCCAATCCTGACTTCTTTCCTTTATGATGTCAGTCACAGCTCACTTACCTCTGAATATATCTGCCAGTGCAGATATTCTCCCACACACGTGTGCATCCACCTCATTTCTGTACCTGTCTCCTTGCAAAGGAGTAAAGCTGTTTGATGGACAGCTCCGAGCATCCCGGAGATGTTTTCTGACACTGCCTTTCCTGTATTCTTACCTTCGTGCCTAAGAGGGTTTTTCTTTTTAAATGCAGAGTCAGGACTCTTTGACCTTGATTCACAGTGTCGAGTCCCTCAACATTATTAAAAGAAATCTAATTGTTAAGAGGATGGACAAAAAGAAAACTGTCTCACCAGCATGTAAACCGGGCTCGGGAATCAGATAATACACTAAAAGACAATCATCTACAGTATCTCACAAAGCTGTTTTCCCCAACAGTCCACAAATTCCCCCCTCTCTGAGTTTTTCTTCTTCACTGGAAGCTGGTTAACTGCCATTTACTTTACTCTAATTAATTTGATAAGCGCCACCACAGAGAGCCACAGAGTAGCTATTCTGGTAAGTCTAATTGGCAGGGTGGGAAATCAGTTTAGAGTGCCTCCATGTTCGAAGACAAAATATTGATATTTGCCAGTAGTGTATTGATAATGTATTACAAGAAGAAATTTACAATATGTTGCTCTATTAAGTCTCCCACTCATAAATCTCATTCTATGCAAAAATATAAAATGTTATATTTATATAACAAAATAATAAAAATGTTCTTTTTTAAATGGTTTGCCTCATATAATCTGTAAAACCAATAAAACCTCTGAATTTAGGCTTTAATACTTATTTTGTTAAATCCAATTTAACGTTTTCTCGTCTTTTTCCTTATTTAAAGCAGCATGGGTCTTAAAACGTTTTGATTTCTTTAGAGCTATATATCTATGGCCACAGGTTTTGGCAGACAGTGCTGTTCATTTATCATCACTTCCTGAAACCTGATGATGCAGACAGAAGGAAGTGCAGGTATTGGCTGACAGTAATCGATGGTGCTAGAAAAAGAAGTTAGTGTGTCAGCGGGGTGTGTGTGTGTGTGTGTGTGCTGCTGTGCGTCTAGGGAGGCCTGAGCCACTGTATGCATATAGGAGATAAACAAAATCTCTAAGAACTCCATCAGCACGTCAGCAAAGCAGTGAAGAACACCTATTTCACACACATGCATGCAAACACACACACAGATCGACACAAAGACCAACACAGTGACAGAAACACCGTGCAGCTCACAGCTGAACCCAGCTACGTGTGCTCGTGGAGTTAGGTGTGTGTTAGGTACAGATTCGTGTGTGTTAGAAAGAAAGTTGATTGAAAATGGCTCTAAAAGCCAGATTACAAAGCAGGATCTGTAGTGTGCCAGCTGATATTGGATGGTGATGATAACTTAAGTGATAGATAACATCATACCTGAGACCAACACCAAAAAAGCCTAACAAATACAGATGCCTACATATCTGTAGGTGTCTATGGAGTGTGCAAGAAAGATCACATCAGCAGTGAGCGGGCAGTCAATTGTTAGCTAGTGCTTGATCGTGCAGTAGATTGTGAGAGTTCTGGAAAACAGAGACAAGAGAAGAACACACTTTGTATGAATTTTTCTGCAATAATCCTGTCATTCTTTTATTATTTGAGTTTAAAGGTATCCTAAATAATAATTTATTTAATAGAAAAAAGGATATTGTAATCAAAAATATGCATAGAATAGTATGCAATTACATCTTTTAATGCATTCTCATAAACTTCGTCAAACAGGAAGGAAAGAGACGGCGTCATTAGCATCTTAATAAACTTCATCCTCACCTCGTACCTCATCTCCTGAACCGAAGTTTCTAACACATGGAAACGTGCATAAACATGTTCATTGTTACTATCATTTATTAAAGCTAATAAATAATGTTTAATGTTGTTTAGCTAGCTCTTGTAAGATAATGTTATGCCAGTTAATGTTATACACTTTCCTTTGATAAACAGTCTGATTACATTCATATATATTAGGAGAGTTTCTTCACTAAGTGTTCAACAGTTACACCCACTTCAAAGAATGTTTACTAATACTACTTAACAGCAGCTAACAAAAGCTAACAGTGGCTAACAAGAGATAACAGAGGCTAAGAGTAGCTAACAGCAGCGCTTACTGATAGCTCAGCATATCCTCAATGATTCACCTCAGTCTCTGGTCAGAAGTGAGCTTTTCTGATTTACTGACTCATTGCAGACTCTGTCTGAGCCTAACTGCATCTTCCAGACTAAATAAAGGTTGACACTTCTCACCCAGCATTGACAGCTGAGGTAAACCGTGCACTCACAGCCTTCCACAGATAGGGAAAAACTCTGGGGTGGATGCAGATAGGGTCCAAACAGTAGTAGAATCACACTGGCTGGCCACAGGCGTTACGACGGTACAGTAAAAACCTGATATTTTTGAGCTCTTGGCTTACTAAAACATATTTGTCCTACAGCAGCCACCGTAGCTGGCATTCTACTTTTGTATTGGGAGGGTTAAAAAAACAGAAGTCATTTGAAATTTATATCTCGCACTGAAAACTTAAAGCTTTAAACATCATATCAGTTTCAGGAAGCATTTACATCTACATTACTACATTTGTATGCAATATGTGGATTCATTAGAAAATGAAGGGGTCTGCAACCTTTCTGATGATGAGTACCATCTACAATTTCCTCAGAAGTCAGTGTGCCATATGATTGCATTAGCAATAAATGTAATAACGCTCTATATTAACAGTTACACACTATATAGAACAACTTTATAGAATCAGATTTGTTCGCAGATGTTGGCAGCTATCAGTGAATAGTTATCAGCTATTTTGAAACAAAAAAACATACACTTGTTATCCATAACAAGAACTCCATAACAGCAAATGAACTGTACAACAGAAAATGCAAATGCTATTTATGGTCTCCTCACAACAATGATAAGAAAAATAAACTGAGCCAATATGGCATGTTTGTTAATACAGAGATACACATGTTAATGTGATCTCTGGTCTCCGAGCATTCAGACGGCTACCTGAGGACACTCATGTGAGAGAAAATCTGCTCACACAGATATGTAGAGCCAAATACTGTCAATAAGGCCTTTGCAATGTGACAGTGATGTACAGTCTTGTTGGTATATGTGTATTTTCTATACATTTTACGTCAGATAAAAACTTTGGTTGTAAGATTCAGATAATTATTTAATAAAAGCGAGATATTTTAAATGAGAATAAGAAAGAAAAGTATTTCTTTGTGCCCCCCCCTCTCCCTGTTAATGCCCTACCTGGCCCCCTGGCAAAACTTTGCTAGATCCACCCCTGCACAGTTACCAGCTGTCAGCTACATAGAAAGGATGCTGGTGTTATTTGTCTCTCAGAAACAGTTCATAACTTCCCTTCAACTCATTTATGTCACCTAAAAGGTAAACCTGTTTCTCCATCACCTGTTCAGCTCTGATGATTCAGTAAGGACATCTCCTGGTTTCGTCTTCATGTTTCCCTCTCACCACATATCCAAACCAACATCATGACCAGCAGCTTTACAGCTGTGGCTCCAGCAAACATCAGCTGATACTAGAAATTAATATTAAATA